CAAATGGACACGAATTGTATTTGTATGTATTATCCATTGGTGTAGGGAACTTGGGAATTGTATTTGTCAGTACTCGGTACTTGGTGATTGGTGGTCAGTAGTCGGTACTTGAGACTCGGTAGTCAATATAGGCAAATGATAATGAAAAATGACAGTTGTAGTCCACGTCAAGGTGAGTGTCTTGGTAGTCTTTCCTTGTCATTCAGCAAAATATCAGCAATAATGAAAAAATGAAAGTTGTTATTATGCTTAGCTTCCTTACTGAAGGTTGTAGTCCAAGTCCAGGTGAGTGTAGTGGTTGTCTTTTCTTGTCAATTGGTTATCTTTTTACTCATTACACAGTACTCGGTACATGGTAATTGGTACTCAGTATTTGGTTTTGATACTCAGTACCCGGGAATCAGTAGTCAGCTTAATGAAGGTTGTAGTCCAAGTCTAGGTGAGTTTATTTGTAGTCTTTTCTCGTCCATTGGTTACTATGTGACCAAGATATAAGCTAAAGAAATCCGAAACATCAATAATGACAAATGAAATACATGTGTGCAGTAAATGAGTCTAAAGATAAAAGAATGAATATTAATAGCGAGACTTGCACATTATATCAAGATATCCAACATAACAAGCCTGTGATGTGATCAGAGACCTGGAATAACACCCATATACATCTATTATAATAGCTTAAAAGCTTAGAAAGATTCATGAAGGATTGATGTAATGATAGGCAAAATGACATATGTGTGGAGAGTGACAATAGACATCTTTTATACAAAGTCACATTTATATATGATTCAGGCCAAAAATATCATTACAAATATGTAGGATAGATTGTAAACTACCCAAGGAACCCATACTGCCTACTGCCCTGAGGGTAGGGGGTGGGCAGAAGGGATATAGTGAAAATATGAGTTGACCCAGCATTAAAGTCCTACCACTGCTCAACTAACCATTTTCGATGCTTTGGGTCTTTGAAGTTTCCCACACTCAATTTCTTACCCATTTCACTTCCTCAGTACTCAATTCTTGGTTGATTTGTCTGTAAATTGATGTCTTTTTGATTATGAAGATTCAATGTTTTGAAGGCATGGGCCCCTTATCAGGCGAAATGGCAAGTATACACACTAGCTCACAAACTCCAGCCTATTGTAAGCTGATCTTGGTCATAAGAAGCAGGAATATAAGCTATGCTCATTATATATTAAAAGGTTGGATCATGGATGCAAGGGCAAGATACTGAAAATTGTGAAAAAATAATAACCAAACCAAGACTCAAGTTCCAAACCTGACTACCAAATACCAAGTATCAGTACTCAGGACTTGGGACTATTGGCTGGAGTACCCAACTATTGATTCACAGGTACCGAGAATTAGAACCAAGTACCGAGTACCTGACTACTGATTCTCGGGTACCAAGTATCAGAACCGAGTACCGAGTACCCAACTACTGATTCTCAGGTATTGAGTATCAGAACCAAATACCGAATACTGATTCCCTTGTACCGAGTACCGAGTAACGAGATAACCAATTGACAAGAAAAAACTACCAATACACTCACCTTGGCTTGGACTACAACTTTTGTTCAGGAACTTAAACATAATAATAACTTTCATTTTTCATTATCGCTGATGTTTCAGATTTCTTTAGCTTATATCTCGGTTAAATGATAACTGATGGACAAGAAAAGACTACCAATACACTCCCCTAGACTTGGACTACAACCTTTAGTAAGGAAGTTAAGCGTAATAACAACTTTCATTTTTCATTATCATTTGCCTATATTGACTACTGACCACCAACTACCAACTACCGAGTACCGAGCACTGACAAATACAATTCCCAAGTTATTTGAACCCTACACCAATGGATAATACATACAAATACAGAATTCATGTCCATTTGAAGTACCAGGTTTCGGGTTTCGGCACTCGACACTTGGTGATTTGTGCAATGAGTAGATGGGCATGTGGCATACATGTTTTTGGGCTTCGGGTTTTAGGATTCGGCCCTTGGCACTCAATGATCTGTGTAATGTAAATGAACAATGAACATGTTGCACACTGGGTTTCGAGTTTCGGGTTTCGGCACTTGAAACTCGGTGATTTGTGCAACAAGTGAAAAATGGAAATGTTGCATACATATTTTTGGGTCTCGGGGTTTGGGTCTCAGGGTTTGGGTCTCGGCACTCGGCACTCAGAACTTAATGAATTGTGCAGTGAGTGAAAAATGGACATGTTGTGTACATATTTTCTGGTCTCAGGCTTCGGGCCTCAGCCCTTGGCACTCGGAACTCAATGATTTGTGTGATATAAATGAAAAATCAACATGTTGCACACTGGGTTTCAAGTTTCACACTTTGGCAGAACTTGAAGTTGTTGATTTAGATATCACCCGAAACCTGAACACCCGAATGTCAAATTTTCAGTGCCAAACCCCGACTGCCGGGTGCCAGGTGCCGAGTCCCAAAGCCCAGAACTCAGGATTTGACATTTGAGATGAACAAAAATTTTCAGACATGTTTGAATTAACCTACATATATCTATAAACATTTCACTAACCCCCAAACCCCAAAAGATATTTTTGTTGTCTTACATACCGAGTTCTGGGACCCCCAAACTCCAAAACCCGGCAGTCCACAATTTCGGGGTTCGGGGGTTGGTAAAATGTGTATGGATATATGAAGGGTTGATTTAAACATTTTTAAAAGATGTCTCATATCAAATGTCAAGTCCCAAGTTTTGATTTCTGGGTTTCGGGAGTGCCGAGTGCTGAAGCTTGGAGTCCCGAAACCCGGAAATCAAAACTCGGGACTTGACATTTGATATGAGACATCTTTCAAAAATGTTTCAATCAACCTTCCATATATCCATACACATTTTACCAACCCCTGAACCCCAAAATTGTGGACTGCCGGGTTTTGGGGTTCAGGGGTCCTGGAACTCGGAACTCGGAACTTGGTATGTAAGACAACAAAAACATCTTTCGGAGTTCGGGGGTTAGTGAAATGTTTATTTGGTAAAATGTGTATGGATATATGAAAGGTTGATTGAAACATTTTTGAAAGATGTCTCATATCAAATGTCAAGTCCCGAGTTTTGATTTCCGGGTTTCGGGACTCCAGGCTTCGGCACTCAGCACTCTCGAAACCTGGAAATCAAAACTCAGGACTTGACATTTGATATGAGACATCATTTAAAAATGTTTAAATCAACCCTTCATATATCCATACACATTTTACCAACCCCCGAATCCCGAAATTGTGGACTGCCGGGTTTCGGAGTTTGGGGGTCCCGGAACTCGGAACTCAGTATGTGAGACAACAAACATATATTTCAAAAATGGGTAAGTCAATGTGTTTGTCAATCAACTTGGTTGTAAATCAAATTTTATTGATCTCCCCAAATTTCCCAAGTCTCGAGTGCCCACCCCCGACCCCCGAGACCTGGCAGTCCACAATTTCAGGGTTTGGGGCTTGGTAAATCTCGGTTTGGGGTTTTCCACTTCAGTCCTCGATTATTGGTCAATGCCACACATGGTCGATTCATGTTTTCGTGCTTAGGGGTTTAGATTCGGTGGTTGATGGTAGGTATATGCACTCATAGTGTACATGTATCCTACATGTTTGATTCGCTGGTGGCTACATCAGCTGTATGTCTTGATGAAATGCATCTAGGCTCACCCATATATGTACCCATCTATGTACAATTCCCCCACGTCAGCCCACCCATCTATGTATTATCCCCCACATCAGCCCACCCGTCTATATAATACATCCTACGTCGGCCCACCCATCTATATAATTATACCCCACCTCAGCCCATCTGTCTATGTAATAAATATTTTATTGGACCCTTGGCCCACCCGTCTATTTGATATCCCTTTCATCAGCCCTAATTATACCCCACCTCAGCCCATCTGTCTATGTAATAAATATTTTATTGGACCCTCGGCCCACCCGTCTATTTGATATCCCTTTCATCGGCCCACCCATATATGTAATACTTTCCATGTCGGCCCACCTGTATATGTAATACACCCCACATCAGCCCACCCATCTATGTAATATTCCCCTACCTCGGCCCACCCATATATGTAATACACCCACGTCGGCCCGCCCATCTATATAACAATATTTGCCTTATGTTAAGAACGTGCTCAAGGATCAAATCCGAAGGGCTTGGCTTCAGCTCATGCGCTGCGCCCCTTACCCGAGTACATGCCCCTAACTTCCGAGGGCTGTTGAACAATGTCCGAAGGTTACCAGACGATGTCCAGAGGGCGTCGGGCAATGTCCGGAGTCTGATGTCCGATGCGCGGGAATTCTGGCGGACATTTGGGAACAAGATATAAGACTAATCTGGATGAAGTCCAAACTAGAAAGGAAACAGCGGAGGACTACCAAAGGTAGAGGCGGAGGTGACAAGTCTATAGGAATCAATCCTAAGACAAGCGGAGGTCGACGAGAGGATAACTCAAGTCATGCGGAGGAAGGAATGAGCAGAGTCTAAGATAACATTCGAACTAAGGATGTACATAGATTCTACAGGGTTTATATACTACTGAGGTGCGAAGTCCGAAGCTATACAAAGCGGTGGACGGAGCGTATAGAAAAGTCAAACACTAGTCTATCGGAAAATAGTAAATGAACCCGGAGATTAGATCAAAGGAAAATAAAGGGCAGAAATGAAACGAGGTACGGAAAATGATATAGTCTAACCGGAGCAGGAATGTACAAAGGGATAAGGCACGGAAGTTAGACACGGGTTGGATCCGGACATAGATAGACATCGGCCGGATCTGGATATCCGGAAATGATATGTGTGATAGGTCCGGGTCCGGAATGCGGGATATGACACCTTACATCTCTCTTCAGCCCAGCTGTCTATAATATCCTACTCTACATATTACCCAGATGGGCCCACCCATCTCCATGAAGAGCACATAGTAGATGCTAGCACATTTGACTTGGAGAATGTGTGTTCGCATGTCTCCAAGTCTTCCAGTCCTAATTGGTATATACTTCATAGTCATCATTATGCTCAAAATAACTCACGATTCCCTGCTGACTAATGGAAGATGCTTGCCATAGCACATAGTAGATGCTAGCACATTTGACTTGGAGAATGTGTGTTCGCATGTCTCCAAGTCTTCCAGTCCTAAGCCAGAAACATATGTTGTTAGGTGATCGAGCTGACAACGCCATTTGTGAGCGTCCCCATGAAAAGCACCAACTAGGGATGTATGTATAGTTGAGGGATCGTGCACGGGTACCCAATGAACTATTGTTGAGTGTAGTCTTGAATTGACATCCAATATTGTATCCACTGCTGAGATCACTACCGAATGTGTCGAGAAGCTTCAAAACTACTGCAAGTGGATACTTTGCCCTGAAACAACAGAAGTTTGAAGCCATTAGTCAATAGTTGAACATAGCAAGTCATGTGACTCACAATTCCCCACTCTGAACCATATCAGTGATCACCAGACTAAAGCCATGATGGCAGACAGCAATAAAGATCCCCATTTCATCATATACTCCCCACATTCGTTTGGTCTCCTTCGTCGTCCATATTCTTCCACCGTCCTGCACAAGAATTCTCCATTATATCCTCATCAGTGGTTTGAGAGTGTTGCCCCAACTGTTGATGTAGGCATGAGGAAGATATCGGTCACCTTGGACTTTCTGTGTCATTTTGAGTTCAAATGACTGTAATGTCCTCGTCATTCTATGCCAAGAGTCCGCTGAAGTATGTGTTTCAATGAGTTGTTGCCATTTATGGGCAAGTTTGAAAACAAGTTGCTCTTCATCCACTCATGTGTACGTACATGAGGGACACGAGTGTTTGAGATGCCAATCAGGTGTGTTGCAGTTGAGGGACTTCAGCGACCAAACAATCGAGACTTGCATGGACTTGTAAATACAAATCGAAGGCTATAGTTAGTTGACATGTGAGGTAACGACGATATTCTGCCTTTTAAGTATTGTCAATGATTAGTGAAACAATTTTAGGCAAATGCTTGCATTGAAAAATGCGGGCTGCGAAGACATGTGATTCAGTAAAACTCAAGTGCATCGATTGTCACTGTGACAGATGGCGATATGGGCGAACAAGGAATAACACCCTGACCAACAAGAGCAGACACAATGAACGAGTCTGAGGGCTTGAGGGTGAGAGTTGCCTGCTTGTGGCTATCACAATGCCATGAGCTAGTCACAGTTGAGAACATATGTTTGTGTATAAGTTATATGTTAGGATTTAAATGAGAGTTGGTGTGAGAGTTGGAATGTAAGGTTCTCACAGAAGGAGGTGAATGTTTATTTTTTTGGTGCTCATGCTTGTTAGCCCTTTGAGAGGCATGCACTGTGAATTTGAATGGTAGGTGGGTGGTGGTGGTGAGGGAGGTGCATTGGCACAATGGCAGTCTCAGAGTGCCACTGTGGGTAGGGTTATTTCTCTATCACAGAAGCAGGTGGACTCATTGGATGTGCACCATGGCACTGCCTCATTCCCTTATAGGAGGTGGATTTTTACTTTTATTTGTCATGCTTTATTTTTTTTTGGCTTCAACACACATTGTGGCAGTCTCAGAGTGCTACTATGGGGGGCAGGGTCATTTTGTTTTTGGTGGGCTCATCCTTACATTTTAAGCTTTGCAAGCATGCCACTATGGGCAGGGTCATTTTATTTTATTTGTCAATGCTTTATTTATTTTTTTGGCTTCAACACATTGTGGCAGTCCCAGAGTGCCACTGTGAGGCAGGGTCTTGTTATTATTATTTGTTAATGCTTTATTTATTATTTATTTAGCTTCAACACATTGTGGCAGTCCCAGAGTGCCACTGTGAGGCAGGGTCTTTGTATTATTATTTGTCAATGCTTTTTTTTTTTGACCCCAACACATTGTGGCACTCTGGGACTGCCACTGTGAGGCAGGGTCTGTCTTTTCTTTCTTTCGTGAGCACACCCTTACATTTTTGGCTTTGCAAGTATGGCAGTCTCAGAGTGCCACTGTGCGCAGGGTCATTTTTTAACCCTTGGGGTCAATGTCCACTGCACAGACTCTTATTTTTGGGCTTTTGCACCATGGTAGGGGACTTGGCACGGCACTGTGGGCAGGTTTTTGCACATGGGCATGCGATGAGTGGCAGTCTCAGAGTGCCACTGCATGCATGATCCAACAGAACTGAGGGGTGGGATATATCATGGGGGGGAGAGAAGCATGCCATGGCGGCAGTCTGAGAGTGCTGCCTACCGGTGGGGCACATCATGGGGGGGAAGCATGCCCATGGCGGCAGTCTGAGAGTGCTGCTGGTATAATATAAAAAGGAAGGGGGCTGTACATATAATAGAAAACAGTGGGGGGAGGGGAAGCAATGGCCACGGTCCCAATTTTGGGAAGCTATGTTGGGGGGCAGCACAGCAGCCATCCGAGAGCGCCATAGTACATTTTCATATTTTGGGGCAGCGTTGGGGCCTGCACAATGACCATCTGAGAGTGCCATGGTATATTTTCATATTTTTTGGGGAAAGCCATGTTGGAGGCTGCACAGCGGCGGTCTGAGAGTGCCATGGTTATATTTTCATATTTTTGGGAAGCCATGTTGGGAGCTGCACGGCGGCAGTCTGAGAGTGCCACGGTATATTTTCATATTTTTGGAAAGCCATGTTGGGGGCCGCACGGCGGCAGTCTGAGAGTGCCACGGTATATTTTCATATTTTTGGAAAGCCATGTTGGGGGCCGCACGGCGGCAGTCTGAGAGCGCCACGGTATATTTTGAGCGGCCAGGTTGGGGAACGGGTAAAATTTCGAAAATTTAGGGCTCCGGACCGTGGGAAAACCTAGGACTGCCGTTTTTGTTTCCCTGCGCGAACCTACTTTGTCTCATAACCACATCCATATCATACAGCAAATCTTCTGAACACAATGGGGAGTTTGAACTTGGTGTACCGTAATCAGATCTTAGTTCCATGACATATGAAGGTGCAACAGCAGCTGCTGCAAAGTCTGATGATGTCTGGCTTGGTTCGGATGGTTTCTTGTTCAAGAAAACATGAAGCCTTTTGGCAGGCTGTGCCTAATGGAAAGTTTCAGTATGGCTTCTTGAGCATAGAGCAAGAAACTTGCTGGCGTCAGTGACATAGGTTTTGCAGAACTTGTATGCAACTTTTTCAAGAAAAAGATAGACAAATCTAGAGCAGGAACATCATTCTCTGCTGATATTCTTGGATGCTTCTTTGGAGACTCCAGTGCCAAGCTTGCAGTTGCCTGTCGTTGTTATGTCAGCCATCAGCCGCATGATTAACCAGTTTAGATGCAAAAGAGTAAGCACCTGGTTCAACGATGCCAGATCTAAGAGGGTATTCCTGCTATGTTTAGAAACAAGGCATATGATAAAAATCAATTTGGACCGCTTACCTGTCTGCCAAAGCACCAGATTTTCTGGTAGGTGTTGCTACGGCCAGGAGAGAGTCTGGAGGGGAAGTCTTTAATCTCAGGACCTGGTCAAGCTCTTCCATTTCTGATTAAGATTTTTCAATGATTGGGATGGCAAAATCAGAGGAAGCACGCTAACCTTTAGCATCTTTAGTCATGGGTATTTCTGGAACAAGATCCCCGCTGATGGATAGAGCTGATAATCTAGATAAACATCCAGATTTATTCATGCTGCGTAGTTTCATGGGGGATTTGGACTGCATCTGAGGCACCACAATTATGCTGTTGCACACTCCTTTGGGCCGACCCCTTGCCTTTCTCACTGCTTCATTAGACATATACTTCCTGAACCACAATGTCAGCATTCTTTATTCATCAAAACAGAGCATATATAACAGCATACCCTGGCATCTCTTGTTCAGACTTGTCCTGATAATAAGAGAGTATCAGCCATGATTTTGGTGAAAATGAACGGAACAGAATATACTCACCACAGCAACCTCACTCTCAATTTCTAGTCTGGTTTGAATCATCATGTCGATCATGCCCTTGCACCACATTTCAGAGCATGGCCCAGGAGACTCTGTATGAGGCTCCAGTGCAATTTGGGCTATGATGGCTTGCAACATAGCAGCCTGGTATTCTTCAGGATGCTCTGGCAGTCTTCCCCATAAACCTGGAACCACTTGCTTTTCTGCCCAACTATACCAATCTGTCATGGGTCAGAACTTTGATCCTTGAGCAGATGTATATTAGATTTCCAACTCACCGTATGTTTGAGGATCATCTAGAACACTATTCATCATGAGGGATTTATGACAAGGATTCACAGATCCACAATAATACATATAAGCCAAGAAAGAGTTCATGATGGGAGACATCCATGTCTCAGGCTGGTCAGCCAGACATCCACTACGGACCTCCTGAATAAACCACTCCCTTATTTTGCTCAGTACCAAGAGTTCCTTTCCAAAGATCTCATACTTGAGCTGCAAGAGATCAGGACGGTATGAAGGTCTAGGATGTTGCAGCAGTTTTTGAAAACAGATAATGTCATGATTGAGAAATCTCAGGCCATTCCTGTAGTGAGCAGGAATCATGGCCAGCAGTTCATGATCATGGAAAAGCTCATAAGTCCTGGTATCTGATATGAATTTTCCTAGACGATATGTTGGAATGTGGGAAAAGTTTGTGTGAGCAGGGTTAGACTCATTCCACCACTGGTCAAAGTGTTGAAGATCAAAGTGATGTGAGAAGGCCATAGAGCTATGGGAGGTATGTGATAGGAATGTAATGTCAGCCAGAAAACAGTCAGATTCAGGATGACCAAACTTTACCTGATGGTGATAGTGGATGACTTCCTGTAAGACAAATGTCTGTTACTGTTCCTTCCACTGCAATCTGGCGCCCACAGAAATCAGCAGTTATGCAAATGTCACCTAAAGTCACAACATGTCACACACCACAGCTTCAAAGTCAGCTTGGAGGGAGCGCAAGGTCAGTTAGCATCAGAGTATAGGGGCAACCATCATCGATGCTGGAATTGTTTGGAGAATGCAGCCAATTTGGAATTCCCTGACAGCTGGGGTCTGAACGACCTTGCAGATTTCCTCATCTAACACTGCTGGATCATGTATAGCAGCAGGCAATATATCTGCATGACTTTTGCACTTTCAACCGTCTCATTTGATTCTGCTTCAATTGATGTCATTCTACCTCATAAAAAACATTTTGTAAAAGTGCCAACTTCTGCAGGGCTGTGACTGTGGTGGAAGAGATAGAAATCTACTAGATGTCAACTTGACATATTTCTAAATTGTTTTCTGCCACTGCCTCTATTAGCAAGTCAAAGCATGTTCTGTAATAATGGTCGAAATCAAGATAGCTGATGTACTATGTCAAAGTTCCACAAACTCTCTAGTCAACTCTAAAATCCTGTCCCATTCCTGAATTCTGGCATCACGATCAGGAAGAGTCAGATCTGTACGGCTGTGAGCATGTTTGCTATGAGATTCTCTAGGCTCCACCATGATGGAGTTCAGGTTAGGCAGAGAATGAGCAAAAAATGCTGCCACAGTAACAGAACTGTGCGGCGGAGAGAATCCAACATGTAGTGTTGTGATGAGGTTGTTTCTAGCAGCAGATTCAAGAATATGTTGTCCCAAGCCACAGTAGAACAGCAGACCCAGCTTCTGCAAACTATGACAGTGGGACAGGATGTGCGAGATCCCCCATAGAGTGGCCCTTGGAGCTTCTTCCCAAAATTGCCTTGTGCCCAAGAAGAGATGTTGAAGATACGGTAAACTGAGGGCCAAATTCAGCAAGGCATCATCATCAATCCTACAAGTGCCCAAGTCCCCCAGCTCTAGAGCAGTCAAATAGACCAGAGCATGCAAAGCAGCCAAGCCATCACGTGGAATCTGAAGAATGCTCTCATCCAAGACAAAAAATTCTTCTTTCCATGGCATCTTCAATCTTAACCCTACCAGATCCTCCCAAGCTGGCAATGCATCCTCATCATCATCAGTTGGCCTGAGAGATATAAGAGCATCAAAGAAATGCAGGATAGCATCTGCTGAGCAGTATTCCTGGTGTACATTGATGCTCAGTCCTTGCATGGTGATGGGGTGATTAGAGAACAGAGATATAATGGCTGGAAATCCTATGTCGGCGGATGTGGCCATTGGCTGATCAAGTGTTGGAGGACGCTCATCAGGTTCTACCTGGATGCTGAGAACCTTGGTGCGGATGTAATGATTTGGAATGTGAGAGGTCTGCTTCATGGATGATGATCCAGGGATGATGACAAGGGTTAGGACGGTGAGCTGGCATAAAGATGCTATGGAGGTCATCACGGTGGGTTCCACATAAGACAAGGTAAGATGCCGGATGGGGAGGCTATGGGAAAGGGAGCTTAAAACAGTCCTGGTCTCAGATGAGTTGACAATGTAGACCAGATTTTGCAGACGTGGCAATAAATTCTGGATGTTGGGAGGAAAGAGCATATGAGGCGGAAGTATCAGGGTAGTCAGTCCTGGATGTAGCAGCCTGTCCAGACATTGGATTAGGCAGTCTCTCTTGTGTTTCAGCTCCACATGGCTGAGAGATGGCAGAAAAGAATCCAAAGATCTGATTCGGCCATGCAAAGCCAACAGGCTCTGAAAAACATGCTTGTATGGGGATCTCAATGCTTTTTTCTCCGGACAGATGGTTTTGACTCTGTGTGCATATGAATAGAACCTTGCCAGATCTGAAGGCTTGAATGTCCTGAGAAACCTCTATTTCAAGCATCAGCTGTCAGCGTGCTATAGGCTCAGCAACATTATTGGGTGACCCACCAACTCAAATCCACCATTAGAATTTTGGTGGTTGTAAATAAGATCCTCTGGGAGAAGATGGATGAGAGGTTCCACTGAAGGCAGCTGTTTCCATAGAAGCTGAAGTACAACCTCAGAGATGGTCGAGGATGTTGTGGCTAGTCCAGCAAAAGCACCGAGTCTACCGGAATTTTCTGTGGAAATTGCAGTATAGACCATCTGCAAGATCATAAAAATTATATCAGGCATCTTGAAGATACGATGCATCTCTGAAGGTAAAGATTATATCTAAGATGGACAAGCTTATGGTGGATGTGACCAAAAATACACATGGGATTTGCATCAGATTTTGTCCAGAATAAGTAAGTAATATAAGTAATTAGATCGGCAATATTGTTGGATGCAGTAGCCTAATCAAAGTTTGATTTTTCTGAACACAATAAATCAAGTGTCAGGATGATGGAACTGTGGAATCCTCAAAGCACCTGGGCATGGAATATACCAAATCATTCATTTTTAAGGTCACAAAACATGGGGGACCAAAGAGCCTATGAGGCAACAAGCTGGATGCATTCCCAAGCAATGTTCTTCCCACCATTTTAAAGGTTACTGAAGATGATGGAGCAAGCTTTGAGACACCAGGAAATTTTTGTGAGGTGATGAGCTGGTCGGAGGACAGTCTGACACCAGAGGTTATGTGCCAGAGGAAACACCCAAACAAGTTGTTCCCCACCATTTTCAAGATGACAATTTTGAGACATCAGGAAGTTTTGTGAGATGTTGAGCTTGGTTAACCTAGGGGTGAGGGGATAATCTGGAGCAAACTTCCAAAAAAGCTTCTCCCCATTATTTGCAAGGTCACTGAAGAGGGTGGACCTAGTTTCAAAAGACCAGGGATTTCTTGTGAGGTGGTGAGCTTGGTGCACCCGAAAGTTTATCTTAAGTGGAGACAGAAGCAGAGACAGACATTAGGAAGTGGTGACAGAAACAGCAACAGAAATGGTGACAGACAGAAATTGGAAAGTAGATATAGCATCAGAAATAAATTATTTGCAGCACATGAATGAAAATCATACAAACTGAATTTTTGCCTTCACACATCACAACCATATTACTCCGATAGCAACTGGTGGAACAAGATAAAAAAATAGAGGACCAGAGATGGAGGGATGTTTGTATACTGCTGTCCCTGCAAGAGAGCAGATGATAAAGTTGAGAAGCAAGGATAGAGGGAAACTTATGTACAACCAAGAGTCATGTGATGGAAGATGCTTGAGAATCATTTCTATACAACCAGATAAAGTTTTTAGTCAATGGTGACTTCTTATCATTTTGAATGTCACAGATGATAGGCCAAGTGCTGAGACACCAGGATATTTTTGTAAGGCGGTAAACTTAGTGCACTTGGTGATGAAAGGATAATTTTACACCAGGGATCCTATACATCAAAAATACCCAAGCAAGCCCCCCCCCCCCTTACACCATCTCCAAGGCCACTAGAGATGATTGACCAAGTGTTGAGGCACTAGTAGTTTTTTGTCAAGTGATAAGCTTGGTGTATCTGGCAGTCAGAGGATGATCTGACACAGGAGATCATACACTGTAGGACACAGCCAAACAAGTTTCTCCCAAGCATTTTCAAGGTCACTGATGATGATGGACTAAGTTTTGAGACACTAGATATTGTTTGTGAGTCAACAAGCTTGGTGCACCTGGAGGTTGGGTGGTGGTCTGACACCAGAGGTCCTATACTGTATAAAACATCTAAACAAGTTCTTCATTACCATTTGAAAGGCTACAAAAGATGATGACCAAGTTTGGAAAGACCAAGAATTTTTTGTGAGGTGGTGAGCTTGGCACACCTGGGTGTCAGGGGATAGTTTGATACCAAAGATCTCAAACTGGAGCAAACAGCCAAGCAAGTGTCTTTCTGCTATTTTCAAGGTCACAGAAGATGATGGACCAAGTGTTGAGACATCAGGAATATTTTGTGATGTGATGAGCTTGGTATACATGGTGGTCAGGAGCTGGTTTGGTATCAGAGGTCCCATGCTGTAGCAAACTGCAAAACATGTTTCTGCCTACCATTTAAAAGGTCACTGAAGATGATGCACTAAGGTTTGAGATCTCAAAAGATTTTCCCAAGGTGTTCCTAGTGGTCAGGGGGTGATCTGACACCAGAAGTCCTACACCATAGCAAACATCCAAATAAGTTTTTCCCCACAATTTTCAAGGGTATTAAAAGGTGATGGACCAATTTTTGAGACACCATGAAGTTTTTATGAGACAGCAAGCTTGGTGCACTTGGAGGTCAGGGGTGATCTGACACTCAAGGTCACAAACATCAGCAAACTCCCAAACTCCTTCCTTCCCACCATTTTGAGGGTTCTAATGATGATGGACCAAGTTTCAAAAGGCTAGGAATTTTTTATGAGATGATAAGCTTAAGACACCCGAATGTTAGGGGGTGGTCTGAACTTGAGGTCCCATGCTGATGCAAACACTCAAACAAGTTTCTTCTCATTATTTTCAAGGCCACTGAACATGATAAACCAAGTTTCAAAATGCCAGGAATTTTTTGTGAGGTGATCAGCTTAGTACATCTGGAGGTCAGGGGCTGTCCAGCACTAGACTTCCTACACTGGAGGAAACATGAAAGCAAGTTTCCCCCCAACATTTCAAAGGTTTTTGAAGATGATGGACCAAGTTTTGAAAGACTAGGAATTTTTTGCAAGGTGGTACATCTGGTGGTTGGGAGGTGGTTTGGACTGGAGGTCCCATGCTGTGGAAAACACCCAAACAACTTTCTACCCACCATTTGAAAGATCAATAAAGATAATGGATCAAGTTTTGAAAGGCCAGGAATTTTTTGTGAGGTGATCAGCTCAGTACACCTGGAGGTTAGGGGTGGTCTGGCACTGGATGTCCTACACTGAAGAAACATAAAAGCAAGTTTCTCCCCACTATTTTAAAGGCCACAGAAAATGATGGACCAAGTTTCAAAAGAGCAGGAATTTTTTGTAAGGTGTTAAGCTTGGTGCATCTGGCGATGAAGGAATGACTTTACACCCAAGATCTCATGCTGAGGCAAACACTTTAACAAGTTTCTCCTCATCATTTTCAAGGCCACTGAAGCAGCAAAACCAAGTTTCAAAAGGCTAGGAAATTTTGTGAGGTGGTAAGCTTGGTACACCTAGAGGTCAGGGGGTGGTCTGGCACTGGAGGTCCTATGCTGCAGCAAATAGCAAAACAAGTTTCTTCCTATCATTTTAAAGTTTGCTGAAGATAATGGACCAAGTTTTGAAAGACCAGGGATTTTTTGTGAGGCAGTACACCTCGAGGTCAGGAAGTGGTCTGGACAGAGGTCCTATGCTGACACAAACACTCAAACAAGTTTCTCCTCATCATTTTCAAGGCCACTGAGGCAGAAAAATTCAGTTTCAAAAGGCTAGGAATTTTTGTAAGGTGGTGAGCTTGGTTTACCTGGGGGTCAGGGGTGGTCTGACACCAGAGGTCCTATGCTATAGCAAATAGCAAAAAAAGTTTTTCACAGCCATTTTAAAGGGTATGGAAGATGATGGACCAAGTTTTGAGACACCAGGAATTTTTTATGAGATGGTAAGCTTGGTTCACCTGGGGGTCGGAGGTGGTCTGACACCAAAGGTCACAAACATCAGTGAATACCAAAACAACTTTCTCCACACCATTTTGAGGGCCACAGAAGATGATGGACAAAGTTTTGAAAGGTTGGGAATTTTTTGTGAGACAGTGGGCTTGATGCATCTGGAGGCCAGGGGGTGGTCTGGCCCTGGAGGTCCTACACTGAAGAAAATTTGAAAGCAAGTTTATCCTTACTATTTTAAAGGTCACAAAAGATGATGGACTAAGTTTTAAAAGGACAGGAATTTTTTGTGAGGTGGTGGGCTTGATGCACCTGTAGGTTTGGAGTGGTCGGACACCAGAGGTCACAAACATCAGCAAACACCCAAACAAGTTTCTCCCCACCTTTTTAAAGGCCACAGAAGATGATGGACCAAGTCTTGAGACACTAGGAATTTTTTATGAGGTGGTGGGCTTGGTGCATCTGGAGGTCAGAAGGTAGTCTGACACCCAAGGTCACAAACATCAGCAAATACCCAAACAACTTTCTCCCCACCATTTTAAAGGTCACAGAAGATGATAGGGTTAGTTTTGGATTGCCAATAATTTTTTGTGATGCTGCATGTCTTCTCCTCCCCCTACACCCACCCATGTTGGCCAAAGATATTGCAAAATTGGTTCAAGATCATGTAGTTATATGATTATGATACATATAGAGCCATCCTGATAAGATTATAGCTTGTCCCAATAGGGCTATGACATCCCAATATAGATATTTGGTAGCAAGACATGGTCGGCAGTAAAATGATCATAACTCATGTTCCCGACCACCAATTTCCTTAAATGTTGGTGCAATAGCATCCCAGTAACATGTTCCATGATTTGAGATAGTCAGAATGGCCAAAAAATGTGTGATGTTATATATAATATATAGCCATAGCATGTATAGTATTCTGGTGTGTAATCCTCCGACCAGATTGAGGGCTGAAGACTGTATCCAAATGGAACGATGTTACGGGCATGTTTCTTGGTAGTGGACATGATGACGGCGGACGGCGGCACTGTGAACGATTTGTAGAAGGCAGTAAGATTTTCTGCGCTCCATTGACTGCCGTACTCTTGTGGAAGTTTCAGATACTTTCAAGATCAAGTACTCCGGTGTACCTTCATCCTTTGCATTCGCTGACGAAAGCAGTGCTTCATGAGCTGCCGTCTTCCTTTCCTGTTCAGTCAAGAACGGACAGTTATTGATTGCGGATGTAATCAGTATCACATGTGCGTCTTCGAAGATTTCTCGATGGATTCTGATTTTATTGTCATATCTTAAGGGCGCTATACGAGATGGTCGCAAGGATGCTGTTGGAGCAGCATCCGAAGCAGCCTAAGAAACATTAGGAGTGCGATTTAGAAACATTTATAACGAATATCCACCTGAGCGCTGGTGATACCCCTCAGCTTAGGTCGCGCACGAGGGTACGGCCAAATCTTGAACTCAAACGGCTTTTCCTGGCGAGTGCGTGATCCAGAAGGACCAGCCTGAGGAGGGAGAGGAGGCGGCGGAGGCTCTCTGATGTGGAATGGATCTCCGAGAGGCAATGGCTCTGATCCAGAAGGACCAGCCTGAGGAGGGAGAGGAGGCGGCAGAGGCTCTCTGACGTGGAATGGATCTCCGAGAGGCAATGGCTCTGATCCAGAAGGACCAGCCTGAGGAGGGAGAGGAGGCGGCGGAGGTGGAGGCTCTCTGACGTAGAATGAATCTCCGAGAGGCAATGGCTCGTCGAAACATAGCGGCTCTCCAAGAGGCCGGAGATCCTCTGAACCTGGCGCCAAAGTGGTTGTGCCGTCAATAGACACGATTGGCGGAGGGAATACAGGGAAGTACTGAGGCAGTGGGTATGGTGGCCCCGAATCCTGGTGAGCAGACGGATTATATATCGGGTGATACCCATTGGACTGAAAAATGTCGTTGAAGAACGACGTTGATGAATCTCCGTCAGCGCCTGGGCCAGGCATCATGGTGGGATCATAGCGATTTTGAAGAAAATCGAGGAAGCGGGAGTCTGCCGCAGACTGGGCAGGGAAATCTGAGGATAAAAAAGGTGCATATTGAAAGGCATTGTCGTCTGGGGCATCCGAGTCAGCGGGTTGTCCGCTATACGGATACATTGGAACCGTGTAATGATAGAGTACCAAGGGCAGCGACAGCGTCCTATAGTTTTATTGAGGCCGCCCAAAACGGTCAGGATTACGAGTGGTCTAGCAAGCGATGATTTTGATGCATGCTTTGACTAATTAGCACTGCACAGCCAAGCAATGAGGCTTGGGCGCTAAGTTAGATATGCCTAATTAGGCTTTCAACATCGGCACAATTAAATCATGTGTACAATTCACCTTGCAATGCAGGCTCGGCCTGGAAAGTTCGGGCGAGGCTTTCAAATTACCGTAGGGCAAAGGGTTACCGCGTACCAGATCGAGGCAGAAGCTCTGGAATATTGGGGTGATGTTCACATATCTCAGCGCCAAGGGGATGTAATAAGGCCACCAACAAGTTCCATAGCGAATATCGGACCGAATAACGATCACGAAAACCCTTGCGGGTTCATCGAATATGATTTTATACTCAAGGGTAGCTTCGGAAGTGTGTGGAAGGATCCGGCGAGGGTCTGCTGTGCATTGATTGAATATATATGCCGAACGCAAAACTAAAGTAGAATACTGATCTTCAGCCGGCTTCAAAGATTTGAAACACCCGGCGAAGGCATGAGGCTTCAAGGCTCCGATCTATGATATTACCGTGACAAATTCAAGCGGAATAGTACCCCAGTCAGGCTGATGATCTCACCCGCCAGCCCTGGTACGCACAACTTGCGGCAAGTTGGAACCCAAACGCAACTTGAAGTTAAGGTTTGAATCCGAGTCTCCGAGTCCGTTCAACCGCACAGAATCATCATGGTGAGAGACGAACTGGCCTGGCCTGGCTCGGACCAACTTCAAGTTGATTCGAATTCGCTGCAAGAAGTCACGGTTAAAGTAAGGAAGCAACATGACAGAACGCAGGGTACAAACTTCTGGAAAGCTTTGAGTGAGACGACCACGATATCGATCACCTCCATCAAAATATACGTGCATGAGGCTGGGCACACTAACTTGAAATCGTGTGATGTCAAAGGAGCGGAAAGAAAGAACTCGAGGGTCCCATAATCGGCAAACAAGTTGACGGTAAGAAGTCGGTCAACAGGCAACTGCTTGCCAAGTTGCCAGTGAGCACGTTTCGACATACTCCCGGGCCTCAAGTGAGGTAAAAGCATCGGTGAACCGTTAAAAAAATGTGCGCGGAAGCTGCGTCAAAACTGAGTGTGCATTTTAAGAAGGCCTCAAGTGAGGATCAAGCGTAAGCGAACCATTGAATAAAAACATGCGCGGCAGCTGCGTGAAGAGTAAGTGTGCATTTTGACATGTAACATCAAGATACATACGTCGACCAATCATCCATATCACACAGCGATTCCTCCAAACTTGAAACTGGTAGTGACTCGGATGTCTGAGTCAAAGGCAATGGAACGACACGGATGTTTGGACAATTTGAATTGTTACAGGCTCCTGTTATAGCAAGAGTGTGCCCGGGTATCTTCAGTGATGGACTTCGTACCCTGAAGGCGAGACGAGCCAAGATAGAACTTACATCAACTCGTATCACTCTCCTCATCTTCGTCCTTTACTTATTTGATCTCGGGCGACATGTCAGGCGTCTGCCAATGTAAATGAGAATCTGAGTGCGAACCAACTTGAGCATAAGCTGGCAACTTGAAATATAAGGGAAACAACATCATGATGAGTTCGCAGAAAGAGTATTTGGGACAAGATATGAACCTGCGCACTGATTGACTGTGGCTTGTAACAATAGGAAGATGACATACCTCTGAATCAGAACGGGGTAGAAATGAATAGATCTTGACATGATAAACATCTGAGGCCTGAGCGACGCCGGGGGAGGACGTTCAACGGAGTTTGATCATCAAACGCGCCGTTGTATTAGTCATCAAAATTTCTCCTCCGCTGGCGATCGCCTCGAGTCTCCTATCCGAAGTTGCCATTTTGCATTCAATGTCGAATCATCCTGATTGTCCAGAGACAAACCTTTTCGAGGCTTACAATCTCTACTCTCAATCAACGCTTTGTTGGAAGAAATTGCGCCACAATGCCTAGGTTGTGTGTTGGAGTTTCGCGCTGTCCGAGTCCTGAGGGAGTCAGATCTGTTGAT